CTTTTCTGTTCAACTCATTTGCGCTCTGCCAAACACTTGCTAGATCTGTGTTGTTTAAATGGTGGTGCCTTTGTTAAGGTAAGATAATCATGAATTGTATGCTGTTATATCAATGATTTTATAATATTCACAACTGTAAAAAAAAAGTGTGAATATTGGAATTATGTGCAGGTTGGTCAGCATCTGGGCTCCCTGGAGTACTTGCTACCTGTGGAGTATGTTAATACCATGAAGGTCCTGCACTCCAGTGCTCCAAAATCTCCTCTTGAAGATGTCTACAAGGTTATCGAAAAGGAACTCAAATGTAAGGTCAGTTTAACTGTTTGCTTCTATTCAGTGCTTGTATGTACCGCCTAATGCTGGGTCAGCCAATAAGACCATAAAAACCATCCTAGAAAACACCTCAAGCTTGCCATTTTAAACCAAAGAAATGGTCAGAGTTTTGTTTTTCCTAATCATGCATCACGTGGCACAGGATTTTTTGTATACTGTGCACACTCCGTGTGCAAACTCACTGTCTCATACCTAGGCCGAAATTTACTTCTCACAGCTACTCTGAGTGAGCTGAGTTCATTACGTAGAATTAATTGAGGGAACCAGGCCTCAATGACATAGTTCTGTGTTAGTGGTTCCCAAACCTTTTCAAGCTGCTGCCACCTTGGATCTCAGGCCACATCCTTAGCACCCTCACCCTCCACACACACACACAAATACACCTCTTTCTTGGTATTAGGTTTGCTGCAAATTCAAAATAACAACTAATCTAACACTATAAACAAGTGTTTTTTCTTTCACAAATAAAAATTAACATAGTAAACCAATTAATTTTAAAAATTTGAAATTTTAAAATTTACATCTCATCTGTAACTACAGTACGTTGTCTTCACAGTTTTAATGAGATGGATGTGCTTGGGCAGGAAATCAGCTCAGCATCAGGCTTGAAAAGGCCTAAGAAGAAGTCTTAGATCCCTGCATTCAGTAATTTTCAATCAGTTTTTTTTGCTTGGAAAGAAACTTGGGAACTGCAATAAAGCCCCGCTCTAAATAAATATGATGTTGTGAAGACAGTAAAGTACATTTTGACTTTTTTCCACAGTTCAGGGTAGCAGTCAGAAATGTATTTTTGTAGCCAAAAATCTTGATATGAGTTTTTGAACTTTGGCGATCGCCCCAGTACTCATGAGAAATCGTCTTATCGGGCGGCATATGGTATGTACAGCCCAAACAAGGTTTTGGATTTTTACTCAAGTTTTGACCACAAATAAAATAAAACATTTTTCAGTGTAACTCTATTTAATTTTTTTCTTTTTAAAGCATTTGTGTTACTGAATTTCTACTTAGATTTTTCATATAATTTTGTAAAACAAATGCTTCCTTGGCTCTGAGGGCCACCCTCCTCCCCCTACTACTTCTTTTCTAAGTCCCCCTGGGTCTTTTCCACGCCCCCGGGCAGGTGATACTGCCCACTTTGGAAACGCCTTCATGTGATGGCCAAAAAAAGGGGGTTTAAACTTTAATTTTATGGTTTCAAAATTTATCACTGCAAATCAAAGGGGTCCTACTTAACAACACACACCAATAGTACGTCTTCAAAAGGGCATAACTCATCAAACAATTTTTTTAGATAGGGGTCCCCCAAAGGGCAATGTACTTGACCCCTTTTTTTCCTCATATAAAAAATTTTAAAAAAAAATTTCAAATTTATTCTCTAAAAGGGATTACAATGCTGATTTACAGAATTTGGTTTTTGGGTTTGTTTACTGTTTTAAAAAATGATTACAAGTGTACCACTAGAACCCCTACATGGCTAGGCATTTGGGCAACTTATTTTTAACCCTTTAACTTTTTCCCCCGACGTAAAAATATGCTTACGAGCCAATGTTTCTGACGTATTTAACCACAAATTCTAGGGGTTTCAAATCAAGCCCAAAAGGGCCGGGTACCACCCGAGGGGAAAAGGGTCTCAGGGTTGGGTCCCCTGGAAAAAAAACTGGACCCACGGGCATTGTGGGAACGCCATGTTGTTAGTCCTTTTTTCACCATGCCTCCGGTAAAAAGTTCCCACTCCTTGGGGGATTGGGGGTTTTTTGGGTTTCCCAGCGTTAACAGCGATAAAATGCAGTGACAGTGAATTTCCGGGGGTTTTGAAGCGAGTTTTTCCCGGGGAAAAAGTGCCCAGGAAACGAAATTAGTGATGAAAACCCAGAACCCAAAACCCTTCCACCCTGGTGCTGTCCGTTTTGTTCACGTCAGTTCCCCTGTACCAGACGAAAGAGGAAACTTTTGGTCGTGTACAACCCCCAATGAAAACATGAAGTGAAGTTTTTCAAGTCTTGAAAGCATTCTGGGCCCCAGTGAGAGGAATATTCCCCAGTGAACGGCAGTATTTACGACGAGCATGCGGGGGCTGGTAGTGTTTCATATTTTTCCAAGGGGAAGGAGAAACCGGGGAGCACACCCGGGGCCCTACACCCACCTAAGTGAAGATACGATTTTAAAACGAGGGGTTAATGGTGACAGGAGGGAGGAGTGGTGGTGAAGTGGGGGTGGCACGGCCCAGGGCCCCACAGCGGGCCACCTACTACCCAGGGCGCTGACTCACACAACAACCACCTCACCCACCCCCACCCCCACAACCTCACCCCCAAAACCCTGCACAACCAAAAACCTGCACACCCAACCTGCACAACCACAACCACTTTCAATATCCAACCCCACCAGCGACCGCATCTGGGATTGGCAGGAGGGTGACGATTTTTTTTCCCAGCCCCCATACTTTAAAGAAACCCCAAAGTGGAATAAAGCCATCTTGTCCACTTGGGAAAAATCCAAACGGGCTGCTTTGATTTTTTTCGATGAACCCCGAGGACATCATTGTCAGGGGAAAAAAACAAATACGGAAACACCATGGCAAATACAATTTCTCTCACCAAAAAAACGGCTACACAAGTGGAAGGGACAACGGGCAGAGATGTACCGTTTTTTGCCAAATAATGCTTATGACTCTTTATAAGCACACTTCACCACATACTGGGGAAAAGAACGCCTTTTTCAACTCCAGGGTTTTTGTGACATTACAGGTTCAATCGTTTCCCGAACTGTTACGTATGTTACCCTTTTTAGACAAAAACCCGGCCCGACAGAAGGAAGGTTATAAAAGATCAAAAGTTTTTATGTACCGAAACAAAAGTGCTGCAGTATTTTTATTCCCCTTTGGAAGCTTTTTTATTGTAGTCCCCTTTATTTTATTTAAAGGGAAAACTCTCATTCAAACAAAATATACCAAGCAAGGAAACACTTTGGTAAAAACTATTTTAAAAGTGTGATTGCAGAAGTGGTCAGTTTTGGGTATCATTGTGTACACTGGCAGTAAACTTTGAGAGATCCATGAAGTTATTGGGGATCTCGGGGAGTGGTTCGAACAATGAGGAACCTATCTTTTTAAGGGGCAAATGTTATTTACTGATAACTGGTACACAAGCCCCTTACCCATGATTTCTTGCAGTGAACTTGACAACGGGTGGAAGTGCTGGTAATCGTAAACATATCCAAGTTTAACGCTGGCATCGCAAGGGAGGGGCAACCTTTGCTGCCAATGCATCATGGCATTTCGGTGGCAGCAAAAGGATTCACATTGTTGCATCATTTCACAGAAAAGAAATGGTACCCCTGGGAGGGACAAAAAGAGGACCAATTAATCATTCTAAAGCCTGCAGCTGTCTGGGCTACACCCTCAAAATGCCTTATGGGCAAATTGAGATGGGGAGATTGGGGTTTGCAGACTGTGACGCAAGAGTTATAAGGGTAAAAAAATTTTTTCCATCGTTGAATCTCTAAAACAAATGCTTATAACATAACAAAATTTTAAAACCAAAAAAACACCAAAATATGGTGAATTTTTTCCTGTCAGTAACAACAAATAATTCAAAGTACCCAAGGGCAACTCCGCAATAGAAACCCGCGCCCACAACGTCACTCTATGAGGGCCCGGGGATCACTACCCCATCAACGCCTCCTACTACTGCCCAAAAAAATCTCAGAAAAGGGGTTTTTTATTATGCATACCACAAACGCCCACAAAAAACCAGAGACACTCGGGAAAATCCTCCAGGGAACTCCCGGTAATAAGGGATTCAGGGAAACCCCCAGGCCGGACTTGACCTGGAGAGGGGAAATACAGTGCCGCACTCTGAAGGAGGGGTGTTATTTGCAGTTTAAAAACTGTAGGTAAAGCACCCTTTGGGAAGACAGGATGGAGTAATGATGGGAAAGTTTTTCTTTTCGGGCCACCCTGCCTTGGGGGAATCGCCGTGTGAAAAAAAAAAATAAAAATAAAAACAGAGGATTTCGGGTACATCTTGCTATTTTACTTACACTTAGGGCCACCCACACTACAGTACAAGCATTAAATATACATACCCCCTGGGTTTCCTTCTATTTTTTTTCTAGTTCTTGTTTTTGTTTATTTCCTCTTATCTCCATGGGGAAGTGGAAAGAATTCTTCCTCCGTAAGCCATGCGTTTCGTAAGAGGCGACTAAAATGCTGGGCAAGGGGCTAGTAACCCTTCTCCTGTATATATTACTAAATTTAAAAGGAGAAACTTTCGTTTTTCCTTTTGGGCCACCCCACCTCAGTGGGTTTATGGCGGGTACGTTGAAAGAAAGAAAAATTCACTCATACTACTGTGTATCTACATGTACAGGACAGTCACTTGTAATATCAATCTTGCTCTAAAACTTTTCATGGTAGCTGCAACAACTCATAGGCATAATACCAGACACAAAAATCTCTGATTTTCTAGGTGTCTGCTTAACCTGTGTAAAAATATACATGTACTGTGCATAAAACGACCTAAAATCTGGAATTTTTTGTCTGAAGTTTCCCAGGGCTCCCAAAAATTTTCTTTGTATCAGTTCAGGTACCTAGCTTCATCCTTAAATGTATTTTTAATTAGAATTTTTTATTAAATTGCTGAATACCTTCAATATAGTATTCTTACTTTCATGTACCATATGTGTCTCACTGTCTAGTAATTATAAGTTAGTTTTAAGGCTGCACAAAATGTTTTGCATAACAAGAGAATTTCTAAAAGTAGTTTATACTTGTCAGTTACCATAATTGTATACATGTACAGTGGTCCCTCAATAATCATCCGGCCTGAAAGTCGTCCATTTCAGAAATCGTCGCATTATTTCGTCTAAACATTGGCTCGCAAATGGTCCGTTAACTCGCTAATCGTCCTTTATCCTGGCGCGTACTCATGGCTCTGAGCCGCCTCTGCCTCCCTTCCCAGCCAGTTTGTCCATTG